AATTGTTTGATGAGAGAGCCTGTCCTTTCCAGAAAGGACACTTGACCATGGAAGGTGAAATTTTTCTGCACTGAAACTGCAGTTGTGGCAGCTGGGAATGCCCTGGAGTCTGTGTGAGCTCCCTGTCATCACCACAATTCCTGGTGAATGCTGTGGTGAGATGGAGCCATGCTGGCCTAGACCTTCTCTACCATGGAGAAGGGGCCTGAACTCCAAGAGGGAGGCAGGCTGGGAAGATGTCCAACATTTTGTGCATGCAGCGCTTCATTATGCAACTCTCATGAATAGAAATCCTCTGTCCTGGAATGGGAGTTATTAAGCTTTAACTTTGTGGCCACAAATGTATCAGCAGTTTTGAGATCTTCAGGATCTTAAATATGGTGCTAAAAATGTATCAGCCTGGCTATGGAATTTTTGGGGGATTTTTTTCCTTTCATAAAGGTGTGTAAGAAGAACATGGGGAAATTGAAGGGTGCCCATGACTGTAGCTCAGCAGCTGAAGCAGAGCAGTCAAACTTAACTCAGTGCAGGTGAGGAGAATGTGAGCCTTAATGCCTTCTGCTCCATGGAAACAGCCTCCATCCACTTGAAGGCTGAAGCATTGCTGGTGGGAGAGGGAAAACAGGAATGCCATGGAAACATCTCTGCTTCACTAAGGAAGCTAAGTGCTGTTTCTTTTGGTTTTACTCCTAGGTGTGTGCTGTGGGTCATCCCACAGCAGCAATTAAACATTTTGTTTCAGTTTTGGGAGAGAAATCTCTCCCTGACACTCACTTGCGTCTTTTCTTGGTTTGTATTTCCTTGATGCAGTGACATACAAACTGATCCTTGCCATCTAGGACCAGGGCTACACTGTGCCCCAATTAATAGAGATTTAGTGCTGGACATGTTTTGGGGCCAACATGTCCCCCATGTTAAAAGTATTTTATTGCACACCCATTAGTAAAGGTTGGGTTTGTGTACTTTAACTGATAAGAATTCTATGCCTTCTTTGTTGTAGGAAGTGTCATCCTCAAGATGTTTTTCATGCCTGTCATGCAGGCAGGCTGCAGCCTGGCTGGCGTGGAACCCGGCAGGATGGCACTCCTTGCTTCCTGCTGGTCCTGCTCAGCCTTGGCTGCTCACAGCATCACTTTGCTCAGGGTGTGGCAATGACACCTTGCTGGGCAGGAGCTCTCCTGGTGCACAACCAGCGCAGTTTGAGACACAAAGGTGTAAAGTGAAGCCCGTGACAGCTTGAGGGATTGCGTGGGCCTTTATCAGCCAGAACCTCTCTGAGCGCAAACACAGAAATGTTGTTGACAGACAACTTTCATAAATTGCTTTGTTGAGTGTCAGCTTCACTTCACAGCACATTGTCACATGCCAGTGCTGACACTTGTGGCAGAACTTGCTGGCGCAGTATGGCGTGCTCGTCTGTAGCTTCTTCTGCATTTTCTTCCTAGGAAAATCCTTATGGTCCAAACTGGAGCCATTTTATCAGGTTTTGTCCTTGATGCATGGGTGAGAGGGGATGTTTTGCACAGTGTGTGCAGCCAGACCTATGCCAACATCACAATTAAAAACGGGGTGAAACAAAATGAATGCTTTAAGTGTACTCATATTTCTGTGCTGTATTTTCTGCTGCTGGATTTCTAATGCTCAAAATCTTTTATAGGAGCTTCTGTTACTCAGAGAGCAAAGGTTTGCTGCAGCCTTACCAAAGTTAACAGTAGTTATGGGCCAGGTTAGAAGAAAACATCCTTCTTTTTTATGATTTACTTTTCTGAGGTGTTTGCCCAAAGCCATGCCATCATGGCAAGGAAATTTGTCCTGCTAGTATCACATAGAGCCAGACAAGGGTTGTGGTCACTATGATGTTAAACTGAGTCACAAAACTTCCTAAATGGTTGCTGTATGTGTGTCTAAAGAAAGAAAAAAAAGGAACATCACTCATCAAGACTAACACCAAGCAAGAAGAGTGAGAAGCAATGAAGAGACTGTAGGAACTTCAAAGTAAGCAAAAAAAAAAAAAACTCTGTGGATTCCCTTTTTCCCTGAAAATCGGGAAGCAGCAGATGGATAATCAAGAAAACTCACATCACCTCCTTGAGATAAGGCCTGGGGACTGAGCTTGCAAGGCACTTGAGTAAAACAAAACATGCAGGAAGCTGTACATGGTATCTACAAGCTGTGGATCCCCCGGATTTTCCCAGGCACCTGGGGGGTGTGGGGTTACCTGGAGTCAGCAGCTGGTGCAGGTGCTCACTGTGCAGCTGGGCTGTGCAGCCTCGCTGGTGTTTGGGTTATCCTGATGTCAGGAGTCCCTGCATTCCACCACAAGCTGACTCTTGCAGCTTCCTAGAGGTCAGGAAAAAAACCAGTATTTCCTCAGGGGTTTTGTCATGGTTTATGCCATAGGATGGGGCTCATGGTTAAGAAGGGAGCAAGGAGAGCCAGCACTTAATTTCAACACATGGCAGAAGACCTGCTCTGAGGTGGTGCAGAACTGAGAGCAGGAGCAGTTGGTGCTCCCTGTGGGCAAACTCAGTGAGTGTCACATGAAAGGGATTAGCTCAAACACCATGGAACAAAGGAGCAGATTATTTTGACATTTAGGCCTCAATATGGCATTTCTTGTTATGATTTGGTCAAAAAGTATTAATAAGGCAAAAGCACAGTGGGGGAAGGGGTAAGTGAGTCCCACAGTGGAAAAATTAGCACATGGTAGGACTGGGTCTGCTGTGGCCCACAGCTTTTTGGGGCTTAGGCAAAGGGTATCTTGCACATAAGGCCACAGTAATTTTCAGTCTCATGGTGGAGCTGCTCTAGATGACATCAATGCCCTTGGCTAGCTGCCATGGCAGGGTGCTGAAGAGGCTGTGGTATCAAGGTGTGTTGGGGGTGTTCTATTCTGTGCTGGTGCTGGGCTTTCCCTCCACTGGGCAGCAGGAAAACCTGTGGCTCAGTGCCTAAACAATGGTCTGGTGTTCGGTGACTCGCACAGCTCAGGATCCTGCTAGCTCAACATATTGGCCTTGAGACTCCATTTCTTTGAGTGCACATGTCTCCAGTGATCCTTTAATTTGGGGTGCTCTCCAGTTTGTGAGGGAGATGAAATGTAGGCAGTGAATTACATCATCGGGGGCTGGGTGTGTGCTCCCAAGCTGAACATGTGTCCGTGGCCTTGCTGCAGTGCTGTGGGGCTGGAGGGCAGCAGGAACCCACTCTGACCTGATGTGTAGCACAGGGGGATGCCTGCTCTAGGTGCAGCATTGGGCAGCAGAGCTGTGGCAAGAGGCTTTTATTTCAAGGTTTCAGCTTTTCCAAAACACAAAAGGATGTGCTTGAAATTCATTCCTTCATGCTGATCCTGGGAATCCTCCATAACCTTGAGCTCTGGCTGTCTCTTTGCTCACCGAGCCCTGACGCGCCCCAGCATCGCCTCGTGTGTGGGGAGTGAGGGAGGGAGGCTCTGGGGCAGAGGTGGCTTTGCAGGAGCACCGTGGCCAGCCCTGGCACAGCCCTGGCAATGCCCTCTCCCTGGCACTGCCAGCAGCAGCTCTGCCTGTGTGGCTGCCAGCCAGCTGAGGCACTGGCTGGGATGGCACAGGTGCCTCCACAATTAAGGTGGTATTTGGAATTTCACAGGTGCCCATTATGAGCAATGCAAACACCCACCCAGCCTGTAACTGCAAGGCTTTAGACTGGTTCCCTGTGTGTAAAGAACTGTTCTGTTCCCTCTCCAGGCCCTTGGGTGATTGCTTTTCCCTTAGGTTTTCACCCCTTGCAAGACCTGTGCCCATGGCTGAGCAGCAAAGGCTTCCCAGGCCCCTCACCCAGGGCAGTGCTTGTTTTTGTCACAGCAGCTCCAGCACTGCTGCTGGTGCTCGTGCCCGAAGTGGCCAGAGATGAGGCAATGTGTGTGATCTGTAACAGGGCACCCACTGCCCACCCTGCCCTGCTTCAGTCCCACCCAGCAGCGAGGGTTCACTGCTGACCCCCACCCACAGGGAGAGAAAGCACCAGACAGGGAGAGCCTTGCCAGTCCCCACCAACGCCCTGGCTGCTGCCTGGGCTCAGCACTGGGCATCCCTCACCCCACTGCCCTCCTCCTGGCCTTTTCCCACTTGGGAACTCGTTACCTCTGAAGTGCTGCTGCAGCATCTGCAGCCCTGGCACTGGCAGGACTCGTGCCCACACCCAAATCCAGGCTGCTGCAGCACCTCGCAGTGGTAAGGCTGGGGACTGGAGGAGTTTGCAGCCTCTGCTTTGAACATGTGTGGCATGTGTGGAGCCAGAACATTTAGGGAGACCCCAGCTGCTAGAAGGAAATGTCCTCACCCTGGCACAAATGGACAGGCACAACCACCCATGTTCCTCTACAGCTGCTCCCTCCTAGGCACACCCATCCCCACATCCCTCTTTCCGTTGCTCAAGTCCTGTTACCCTCTCATACAGCACATGCCTTACTATTTCCATCTGACAGCAAGGATTTCAGCAGCATTTCTTAATCTGTTTCATATTTTAAAGCAGGCAGCTATCCCTCCTGCCCTTTATCTCCTAACTCTACCCTAATAAATATGATTGCTTCATCCTGTGAGACCTGAAAACCCATTTCTGAAATCCCCCTGGCAACTAGTACAGTTAAACAAGCATATAAATAATTATGATAAAAAGGCATAAAATGCCAGACTTGGGTCAAATATACTCATGGAGTGACATTAGCAACAAATAACTACGCAGGGTTTGAATGTAGATGGAAAAGGATGAATAAAGAGTAGCTACTTCATTGCCCATAACTGCCAGGCTCCTAATTTGGGCAGGCCATATTTTACTGATAGCAGAGGAAACACAGTCATAATGCACCCCTACCTTTCCTGCTTTGTGAAAAATCCCATCCATCCCCAGGGAAGCAAGGATGTAAAAAATAGCGGTGTGAACGTGAGGTGAAAGGATAAGACAGAAAGCACAGTCACAGGATGCAATTCCCATGTGTTTGTTGCACATCATATGCTAAGTTCAATTTTCCAAAAGCTTTGTTTTATTTTTAAAGGTAACATCTTTATTATTATTATTATTATATTTATTAGTTATTATTATTATAATTATGCAGAGATGAGATTTTTCCCCCTTTGATCACAGAGCAAACAGTTTGCTTTTGAAAATGTTAATGGAGTCCTGATTTAAAACATTTTTTCTTCACTTTTTTTTGTTGTTGTTGTTGTTTTTTAAAACGTTGCAACAGGCAGGATCTGGGTTTCGATTTTCTCGTCCTACACAAAGAAAGATTCTGGAGTTCACACTCCAAGCCACTACCGGTAGGTCCTGCCTTGCCCAGTTGTCATCATCTCAGTGTGGTTTCGCCAGGTGGGGTGGGTAGGTGGGTGGGAGGGGAGGAGTTGGAAGAAGGGAGGGTATTTGTCAGCTATGTCGAGTCTTGGTTAACAACTTTGCCTCCATTCATGGTTGGTGTCCCTGAACTTTTCCTTGAGCGTCCTTGTTTTTCTCCAATTTCATGCAGCGATGGCTCTCTGTACATGCACACTGCAAACACAAAAGACTCCTGTTAACAGCCCTGAAGTCACAGACAGTCATGACCATAACAAATTATTTCTTTGTACATGATGTTGGGTTCCAGCCCCATTGCAAACACACACCCACACACACCCACACTTACAAAACCCCAACTGACCCAGCAGCAGATCGTGTTACCAAGCAGGAACTGTTTACTTGCCCTTGCTGCCATTTGCTTCTGTCTCTGTATTCTTTCAAAGGCAGAGAGAAACAGCAGATTGACTACTCACAGATAAATCTTTCTAGGTTTTATGTGCTTTATAGCTTTTTCATGCTATATTCATATATATAAAATAAACATTTTAGCTCACAGAGTCATGTACTGCCTTGAGATGCTGATTATCATCTAACAACAGGTTCAAGAATGACCCGGTTCCAGCCCTTGACCTGCCATCAAAGCCCTTGAGAGACCTGAATCAAAACTACACCTGCAGCTGAGCCATGAAGGTTTTCTGGGTGTTGAGCTGTGGATCTGAAGTGGTGACTCAAGCCCATTTGGCTCCATCAGCCAAGAGCCAAGGTCTGCTCTCAGCACTTCCTATTTATTCCTCAGTAAATCAAGCCAGCCAGCCAAGGTCAGGGCTGTGAGCAGACACATGGGATGAGTTCAGTGACAGCAAGTCAGGAGCTGTCCCAGCTTTCCGTGGTTGTCTGGCAGCACCTGAGAGCAGGGTGGCTGGAGGGCACCTTCTCTCCAGACCCTGGCTATGCAGTGTGTGTCCTATAAAAATGCGCTCGCTGGAGCCCAGACGGCCGGAGGAGGCAACGTCTGCCCAAGGCATGGCTCATCCCCACTCCTGGGCAGGACAAAGCATTTACCCAGCTCACCATGTGGACTAAGTCCTCACGGCTGTCCTCGTGCCATGTGAGGTGTGCCAGAGCAGGGGCACGAGCTGTTCACTCCAAGGAGAGCATCTCTGATGAGCTCACTGCAAATGTGGCAGGGTGCAAATGAGATTGAAAGAGTGAGGCATCTCAAGGGCAGGCACAGTGGAGTTGAGAACATAAGGCAGGTCCAGACTGCAAATGTCACGTCCAGATCTTTGCAAAAATTAGGAAATGAAGAAATGATTATGTACTGCTTCATTTTGTGAAGTTGTCACATCACAAACAGTGGCACAGAGCTCCAACACAGGATAGAGCCTATCAGGGTTTGGTTCTGGGTAATCAACAAGAAAAAAACTTTAAAAATTATCTGAAGAAATGGAAAAAACCACCCCATGTATGAAAAGGCAATGTAAGCATTTGCATCTATGATCTCCCTTGATTTGCAAATAAATCCCAGCAATTAGAGGCAGGCTGAAAATGACATTATTGCTCTGTGCTTTTACTCCTGACTAGATAAACAGTTACAGCACTGTGCAACAATACAGGACAAAGATAAAGTGCAGTCAACTGTGTATTAATAGGAGGGATATTGAATTGAATATATGAGCAGTGAAAAAATATTACTTTTCCCATAGCATATTTTTCATGCAAGGCTTTCAAAGCAGTTTAGACACACACACACACACACACACACACTGGTCCTCCCAGCAAGCCTGAAAGGAGGTACTGCTCTGCAAACTGTTACTGCAACTGGAGCCATTTTTTCATGAAAATTAGAAGGAAAAAAGAGAAAATGAAGGAGTTGTCCCATGGGTCTGGGCCAGGGTGAGCTGTGTCAGGACTGCCCATCAGGTCCAGACAATGGATGCTGTCTGCATGCTGCAAGGACAATGTGTAACATGGCAGCAACAGATGGAAAAGGGCTCTCACATCCCCTTTCAGACCTGAGCTGCCCCTGACACCTTGGGGAGGATCACTCAACAACATGGTGATGGTGAATTTGCCTGTTGGGGTGAAGTATCCAATAAAATCCTAAAGAAAGTATGAAATGGTTAACAACAGAGGAAAACCCATGCCCTTGTGATTTCTTAGCCTGAGCTGCAGAGTCTTTGGATAGCACTGAGGGTGTGCTTCACTGCTGTGACTCACCTTATTCTCGGCTGTGATGTTTGCCCAGCAGAATTATGTATTTGTGCCAGTGTTGTCCCAGTGCCCCTGACGTTCCATACAAAAAGTTTTGTCTCAAGTGCACTGTTGCCTTCATCCTGACCTCCCTCATCCCAAGCTGGAGCTGGAGGGACCTCCATGAGTTCTTCCCCCAGAACCAAGCTCATCTCACTCACACCCATCCCCAGTAACCCATCAGGCTGGGTCAGATGAACCACAAGGACTGAGCCCAGGTGAATGCTGCAGCAGCACCATGGCATGCAGCCTTTCCTCAACTCCCTGCCTCTCACCACGGCCTTTGGCAAAAACCTTGAGCTGCCAACAAGGCCCACAGAGTAAAGAATATAAACCAGGCTACTGAAGTAAACAACATTTACAGCTACAAATGAAGGAAACCCTGTACCTGACAAATAGGGCAGGAATTATAAGTTTTATCTTCCAGTCTAGTGCAGGATACAAATACTGATGTGGGGCATGGCTGGAGACTGTTCACACTGAGCTTTTCAGACAGAGCTGTCAAAGCCTCTGTACCAGACAGGCTGTGCCAACAGCCCATGCCAGAAAATCTGTAGCAGTACAGGACAAGCATATTTTCAGTATTCAGATACACCTATAGGATCAGTGCATGCAGTACTTACATGGCATCATGCAAAAGAGATGCCTGGGCATTCTCCTACTCAAGAGGCCTGCACACATGTGCTGAGCTGTGGCCATGGCTCAGCAGGGGCTGTAAACCCCCTGCACTGTGGCACACAGGTGTGCACACCTGCATCTGCACAGGCACAGGGCTTCAAGGACAGCCCAACATGTTGTGCAACACAGGCTCCTGGACTGCAGCTTGCTCCTCTTTGCACTGAGGAATTCTGAGCGTGACTCACGCAGGGAGATGTTAGTCATGGATGGGGAGGGGGTGTTTGCAAACGGACCCAAGTGAGTGCCCAGATCTTCACAGCTTTCAAAGTACATCACTGGGCTCCAGGACTTGCAGCACTCACTGCCAGGTCTCTCTGGGATCCCTCTGTGTGTATGTGTGTGTAGACACACTTCTCTGTCACCTGCACTGAGGTAAAGCAGCAGCAGTGTGACAGTCATGCCCGGACACCTGGGAGGTCTGCTGCAGCACACAGCACAAGGAACTTTGGAAGGATGAGCAATTCAGCTAGAACAAGAGTTCCCTCCCTGCTTTGCCTTGCTTCTCCCACCCACCCACACCCACACACCTAGCCAAATACAGCCCTTAATGTCTAGAAACCAAGCTATTGCTTTGGAGTTTCAATCAGATAATCAGCTCCTATGCCCCAGATTCCAATCAACACATCCATATTCATGCTTTAATTGGGAAGTGCTGTTAGCTTGATCTGCTGAAGAGCTGCAAGTATTAATGGAAAGGGGTGAATGCAGTGGAGCTGTGCCCATGTCTGGTTCTTGTGGCTTTTGATTCCCTGCTCCCCTGTGAAGCAGCAGTGCCTGTCACTCAGGCACAAGGGAAAAACTTGCACAAAGATCAAATCAAAATTAGGAAGGAGACTGAAGGTACAAGTGAGGAGGATGGGGGTGGCAGGGACCATACTTCCTGAAGGCAAAGGCGTGGAAGGGGCTGCCTGTCACCCAGAACAGCTCAAACTCTTGCCTACATGCTGGCACAGGATCACACTCTCATTTCTGTTTCCTAGACACGGCACTGGCACATCACCCACATGATGACACTGAAATCACCCTGGGCATCAGGGACTGCCTGAGTTTGGGAAGCATCGTTTTGTGTCCTGACCCCAGCATTTCTCACTTGGCATCACTGCAAGTTGAGGAGGTTCAGGGGATGCAACAAACTCCCTTTCCTCTCTCTAGAATATGGCAAAAAGCTTATTAAGCACATTAGATATTTTCCATCTATCCATCTTCACTCTGTGTCTTCCCTTGTCTCAGACCCTTGCGAGTCAGGAGAAGCCAAAACTTTCCTAAGCTGCTGTTCAGCAGGTGGGCAGCCCTGCAGGATCACCGTGTGCCCAATGGTGCTGGATCTGGGCAGGGCTGGAAGCACATCCTCTGGTAGCAGCCCTGCAGGCTCCTTGCCTGCACAGATACCACAGCTTTGGGTGTTGGTATCTGCCTGAGTGGCTGCATTTGCCAATGCTTTGGTGCAGGGAATTAACTGCCTGAGCAGCAGCACTCAGGGGCACCAGGGAGTGAGTGATCAGGCATCCTCCTTTTCTGCCTCTAATTACTGAATTCTAAATCCCAGCTGATGCATTTCTGAGGCATGTCAGCTCATGTCTATCTGGTGTGAAGATAGACATGTAAAATGTGAAGGATGTTGCCACTTTGTTCAGAAAATAAAGGCAGCACAGGATGGCAAAAAGCCAAGCAAAATCATGGTTAAAATACATTACATTTGTCATCTAATAAGATGATTGAGAGTCTGATAGATGAACAAGTGAGTTAGTGTGGCACAGAAAACATACCAAAGCCTGCCCACCTGGAAGACAGACCCAAAGAGAGGAGCTGTGTTAGCAAAGACCTATAGAGTGTGGAGACGTTGAGGTTTGATTTTTTAAGAATACTTTTTAGGATGTTGGGAAAGTAATGTTTTATACGAGCAGGTAGTAACAGGACAAGGGAGAATAATTTTAAATTAAAAAAGGAGATATTTAGGATGGACATTAGGAAGAAATTCTTCTCTGTGAGGGCAGTGAGGCACTCCCACAAGTTGCCCAGAGAAGTTGTTGATGCCCCATCCCTGGAAGGGCCCAAGGCAAGGCTGGAAGAGGTCCTGAACAGCCTGATCTGGGGAAGGTGGCATCTCTTCCCATGGCAGGGGATTTGGACTAGATGTTGTTTAAGGTCCCTTCCAACCCAAGACTTCCTGTGACTCTATGCTTTATGTATTAAGGTGATACCTTTGAAGCCTTTTCACAAGGCCTACTGCATTTTTCTGGTCAACAGTCTGGTACTTATTTACAACATCTGAGGACTCTGCCTTAGCAAAACTTGGATGTTATTTCCCTGAGGAATGACACTGGGAAGGATCTGGCTGCTTGGATACTCATCAGTGGTAATAAATGGATCCAGACTAGTCATTAACAGGTCACCTTTGTATCTGAGACATGCTCACATCATGAGGGTTGAGGTGCCATAAATTCAGAGTAAGGGACTGCTCTGCTGACTTGGAGGAAGTTTTCTGCTTCTGTGGCCAGATTTGCCACCCTAAATGTTTTCTAGTTTGGGCCAGGAGAGAGAGGAAATGTAACTCTTTGGGAGAGTTACATTTGGAAAATATGTCTTCAAGAAGAAGGAAATATGAATAACAGAGCACACCCACAGTAAGCATCTGATAATATTCCTACTTAAATTACTGGAAACTTCTCACATTGAGATGAATTTGGATATTTAGAAGAACAAAAGGCACTATGGATGGTAGGATTGTTCCAGCACTAATCATTACAGACACTTAAAGAGACTGAAATTTCTCTAAAAGATTGCTTGTTGTCCAAATGACAATTATACTCAAGCTCATTTCTTGTGCAGTCTAGTTCAATCTTGATGTCTTCCTTTTAGGGTTCATTTAGCTTGAATAATCAGGGATCAGAAATAAAAATATCAAAAGAAATGTGTTGCGTATGTGTGTTTTGAAGCAAAACTGGCACCACACAGTACATCAACTGCTGCCTACCAGGCTGTTTGCCTTGGCTGTGCCTGTGCACAGATGGGAGAAGAACTTAACATCTCCCCTGTTATTACTTAGTAAGTTTTTTGTGCTTTCATATTGATTAAGCTTAATCTTATTTCCAAAAACAAACAAATCCTACCTACACTAAACTAAAAAAAACTCCTACCGACCCAAACCCAAAACTTTTCCAGTTGGTATCTGTTGAATTTTGTACAAAATACCTCCAGCCTCCTGCCAATCTACGTGAGTCAAAACACTGTGAGTGTTTAGCACAGCAGAAAGCTGTAGCTGCTAAAAGCCATAGATAACACACATCCATACATAGATACCACTGTGTATATATGCATATGTGCTCCCATGAGTATTTAGAAATTGTCTGTGAGGCTATTTCTTATTTATGTATAAGTTTTCTGTCCATTTGCAATTTCAAGGAGACTTCTGAATTCAGAGAGCAGGATGAAGCAATGGGAATCAAATGAGCTTAGGGAGCAATCTGGGATTTTTTCTCTTTCCTTTCCATGTGAACCCTTTCTTCACTAAACTGCTGCGCTGCATAGTTTTTCTGTATATCAGAAACAGCTGGGAAGTTTCATCTCAGATATAACTGCTATTAAGTGGCAGGTGAAGTGATTCCTAGCAATGGATGTGGCACTTCTCCTTCCCTGGAGGAGCAGATTCCTCCTTGCACACATTCCTGTGTCAGCCATCACGGGACAGGGCTAATGCTGGTGGTGGTATCCAGCAGCAGGAAACCTGGGGGTGTGACTGTGGATGGAAGCTGTGTCCTGAATAAGCAGCAAAGCCCACACACTGGGGCAAGCCACAGCTTTCTGCAGAACCGACATGCAAATACAGCAGGAGAGTGCTTTGAGTATTTCCTTGGAGTCATAACAAAGAGAAAGAAGCTGGGTAGGAATTGTCCCTTTTCTGTAACATCTCTGCTTGCAAGCGCTGCTCCTGGGGACTTTGATGGATGCGGTGCAGAGAAGTCACATGGAGATGAGCAGGTTTTACTCCAACCCTCCCCACAAGCCTCTCCTACCTACAATGAATCTCAGGCTTGGGAACAGAGTCCTCCGTCTGGAGTCCCAGTCCCAGACAGCTGAATGCTTTGGGAAGCTGACACGTGCCTTGGCTTGGGAGACTGCCAGCTCTTTGATGCAGCAGCGCTCACAAAGCCTGACTGCAAAGCGTGTGGAGGAGGGAAGGAGTGGAGGAGCCCTTAATTTGGCTGCCAAGTTCCAAAGCGCTCGCTGCTCGGAGGTTATGTGACAGCTGCGATTGAGGCAAGTGTGGGAGGATGCAACTGCGGGAAAGGGAAGCTCTCGGGCTGGGCTGGGTTATTCAAAATGAAAGCCAGAGCGGCATTTGTTGAAATGAGATCTCCGCTGTGGGTCAGGCAGCTCTGTTAAAGCAAGGCTTTCCATGAGGAGAGCCACAGGAATGGCCTAGTTTAATGAATGCAGAAGGAAACTGTTGAGCTGTTCGGCAGACACTGTGCATGCTAGATTAAAAAAGAAGCCTGGATTCAAAGGACCCCACTGATCAGTGCCAACGCCCAGCCAGGCAGAGAAGAAATACCATAGGAGGTGGAACCCCAGCTGTGAAAGCTGGTGCTTGTAAAAGACTGTCCTCGTGGTCAAGGCAAGAGAGAAGCTGGTGACCAACCCCAGGCCTGAAGCAGGCCCTGTTCCTTAGCAACACACCAGGGCTTAGGGTACCAATCCCACTAATGCCTCAGATAAACAACAAAGGGCTCCTGGCTGCAGAGAAGCTGTTGAAACCAAGCACAGGACAAGCAGCTCCAGGCCATTCTGTGCTCTTTCAACATTTCCATTTCCTGTGCAAAGGCCACAGATACTCTGGGAATGCTGCACTGAATTTCTCTAATGCTTTGCTTCACATGGTCTTTTCCTTACACAGAACTTCTCACCCCTGAGCTGGGAAGCTTTTAAAAAGGCCACTGCTGTGTGGAGAGAGCTATGGCCTCCACCACTTGTGAGTGGCACCTGTTAGGGGAGCATCAGTTCACACCTTCTCCCACAGCCAGCATGGAGTGGTGAGAGGGAGCACAGAGCTGTGCAGCCAAGGCCAGCTCCAGGCTACTGTGTCCCTCAAGGAGACAAATGCCAGGACAAAGATAGGGTCAGAAAAGATACCTAGTTTGGGGATCAAAAAGTAGTGCTTTTCCCAAGAAAGAGATAAAAATGCTGTTTCCAGAATCAAGTTAGTACCTGTTAAGTACTGGGCTTACCACACTATCTCTCCATTTATTAGGGGCCAGCCCACAGAAAGCAAAATGTCCTGGCAGGAGCCTGAGGCACACTTCAGAGAGGGTACAGGCATCTGCAGGAGGGCAGAACTTCAACTCCATGACTTTCACTGAAGCCTCACACTGTGACAAAGACATATGGCATGACAGCATCCCATCTAACTTTGGACAACAACTCTACCCCCCAGTGACTAACTAGGATGTCTTTACAGATGAGGAAAACAGATTTAATCTCAGGGTAGACATAAAAAGAACATCCACAGCTGTGCTGGTAGGAACAATTTTTCTTCTGTTACTATGAATGGAGTGCCAAAGTCTAAAATCAGGTGAGATGAATCCTGTCTCTACTGACTCTATATGGGACTGGAAATCTTCTGAAATACACTGGCAAAATCCTCTGAGAAGACAACATTATGATCACTGCTACATCACATTCCTTTGGAACTGCTGGCTGCTTTTCTTTACCAGTAATTTCTTGGGCTGCTGGGCTTTTAAATTCATCCTTTAGCACCCCAAAGCTAAGAAACCCCTTTGAGGCTAGAAGGAAAGCAGAGGAAATGCTAACAGTGCAGCCCAGCACTTACCTGAAGTGCTACAAACATTTCTTCTTGCTTTCTGGTCTCAAAGCCCAACACCCCCACCAGGAAACCCCAACTCTGAAGTTGTTACTTTCCCCTACCCAAACCCCACTGAGGGAGAAAGGGGGCAAATTCCATACCTTCAATGGGTTTGGGTACAAAATGTGATGAGGGTTTGGTTTTTTTCACTCGGTTTCCCTTCATAATTTGACCTTCTTTATTGAGTCCCAGGAACCACGCTCGTCCCGATTCCTGCTGCCGGTACAGCGTGGAAGAATAAATAACGTAGTAGTTTTCAAAGACAGATTCTTTAAATTTGCACTCTGGTGTGAAAACATCCTGCAGCGAGAGAGAGAGAGAGAAGAAGAGAAAGTAATGGAAGAATTAATAATCACTGATTTTCTAAATTGGGCATCACTGAGTGATACACAACGGTCACGCATTGCAGTTAGCAACAGAAAACAACAGGCATCAGCAATGCCGGCTCCAGCACTAACACCCATCTAGACAACTCCCAGCTGAAAGGCAAGGCTGTCCTTCCCTGGCAGAGCTGGGCTTTGCAAAACAGCCCACAGTGAACAGCCATGAAAAATGTGCAGGAAAAGTCACAAATTTGCCAGGATTTAGACTTTAATACTAAGCAAAAGAAAGAAAAAGAGAGCTGAGAAGCAGAGACAGCCTTGCTCTTCCTGATGCCTTCCCCTGACTTTGCTCATACCTTCTCTGATGGGCAAATGTACAATGCTTGTTGTCTAAAATATTGAGGTTGCTTCAAATTCTTAGAGGCAAAAGGCAGTTTATTGAACCATTTAAGAGGATTCAAAGAAATGACAGTACAAAAGCAAGGAAACCATTTAATTTCAAAAGCAGTGTGAGGAAATGCTGGCACAAAGCCTGGAAATCTTTCAATAAAGAGAAAGAAGTAATTTTCAAGATTTCTGGCGTAAGTATTTCTGCAGGTACCCAGAAGCATTTCCACACCTGCCCTGGCGCAGAGCACATATGGATCTGTCCAGGACATCCCCTAAGCCTGTGATGGCTGTGGGAGAGGTTGCGCCATTGCCACTTGCCCTGGCTTTGCATGAAGTCTCCAGGATGAAACTGCACTCAGCTATGGACTAGTAATTGTTATGTCCCAGTATTCACGATTTTCAGAACAGAGAAACATTAAACCTCTTTTAAAAGATCTGGCTGGCCAGGGGATTCTGTAACAGTGGGCTCCCCAACCTTCAGTGAGTTGTATGTGGTTGTTAGTGGGTTGGGTTTTCTTCCCAGACTTTGAGATTGAGCAGAAAACTATCCTAGACAAACAAATTCTCTCACTAATTTTCTAAAAAACATTCTTGCAAAATAAGTTCAAGCCACAATGAAAATTCATTTTCTGAATCAAAAATGTTTCAGCAAAAAAAATCCCTTCTTACAGGTCCCAGACAAGGCATTTCTGAGGCCTGTGAGTGAAGGCAGATGCTTCTACAGGCAAGTGATGCTCCCTCCCAAACCTCAGCCATTCCCAAGTCTTTGGGATTTTCTCCAGCTTTGCCAATGCAAAACCCATGACCAACATTGAGCACAGCATCTGGAGTAATGCCACGTGTTCACTGCAGACCTTGTTTAAGAGCAAACATTCTGAACACTCAGCAAACCTCAGGAACGTGTTCCCAAGCGATCTGGGGGTTATATAAAGTGTTGCTGGTGTGACAATAAATCCAGTGTGCAACAGACCCACAGAGACGGGCAGGTTCGAAGCTACAGAAGATAAAGCACAGCAGAAAGCACAGAGCTGTGCTGCACACGTGAATTCTGCATCAATCATTAGCACCACACAGGTAAAAATACCATCAGCAAAATGGGCCATTTTGCCTTATCTGAGGGAGTCCTTTGTGCCAGAGAAATAAATATTTTTAAAAGAGAGTGAAACAAGTTAAGAGAGATCTAGATGACTTAGAGCATTATAAAATGGTGTTTGAAGTAGCTTCCCAAAAGAACAGTGTTTAAGTGTTCCTTAATCTGCCCTTTATCTCCAGGCTTTGGCTTGCCTGGGAAGGCACAGCTCACCTGGGAGCTGGGTTTGCAGGAGCTGCCTCTGAACTGCTGGCTCGGGGGCACTCCCTGGCACCAGGCCCAGCCAGGCAGCAGCTCTCACACCAAACTGGACAACTCAATCCCCTTTGCCATGCCTTCATTACCCCATCAGTAAAAGCTGATCACGAAAATTCCCTTTAGGGGGACTAAAAATTTGGTGGGTTGTGAAAGATAGCCCCCAACTTGACTTAAAGCATGGAACTAAGACTATTTTCAATGAAGAAGAAATATCAAAGCTAATGCATTTCAAAAATGTAGTTTCACAAAGAAAAGAAAAAAGATATTTTAATTAGAAGTTATTGCAAGTTAAGTTTTCAGCTCAATATCTATTTTAAATCAGTGTAATATTTTATGACATGCAGCAGTAGTTCATAAAAGCAGATGCTGTATTGTATACCCACTTGTACCAATTACTTCACAGAACTCTTATTTTAAAGCAAATGCATGTAAAGACATCAAAGTAATGAAGATTTTAAGAAAATAAAGAAAAATCTATTGATTTCCTTTAAATGTTTATGCTCCCCCACAAGCAAACAAAAGCATCCCATTTGTTTTGTGAGCTGGCTGGTTGATTCCTCATCACCCATAAGTCAGTGGAAACAGCACTTCAGGATTTGAACCATGGCAACACTACTATGAAACACCCCAGCTCTGTCCATTCAGCAGCCTAGAAAACCCACAGATCTGAAAGCCAAGTTCTTGTTAAATAATACTGGGTTTATCCACTATTACCCTTTTTATGTACATCACGTCACCTGCAACAACTGGGCGAAGTGGAGACAGACACCCATGGGACACTGCTCATCCTGCCACCAAACTGACACATCCCAGGGTCCTCACAGGTCTGAGCAGCAGGAATCTCTGTGGGCACTACCATGGACTTGACACAAAGAGCAGGAGGATGAAGAAAGAACCAGATGACTGGAGAGGAGACAGGGCAGAGGAGCAGGACTCGGGCCACTCTCCCAAGAACTGTCTCAGGATTTTTAGAGTGTCATCTAGATCTCATTAACATGCAAACCTTATGTTTTTCTTCACTGGTGTCTTCTTGGTGCCCCATGGCCAGCCTTCAGCTACACTGCATCATTTAGTTTCAGCACACGCCTTTTGCTGTCAGCTTTGGGGCACCAATAACAAAAGGCTATTGGGATATTAATGGCAGAACCTCTCCACAAGCTTCACTGTCAAAATTAATTGTGCAATTATGCTGAATCAGGTGGGAACTACTGTTTCAGTTGTCTTAGGCTGAGATGAGCTGGAAAGAAAGACAGAAGTACAGGTGAGCACAACAGACTGCACAATAACAAAGCAGTTTGTAGCAGCCACTTCTGTAGACAGAAATCTGAGATAACAAAAGGTATTTTTAAAAAATCGCTGATCTATTCACCAGACCTCTGGGCCATGCATGATTTAGGGTTTTTAAATTTGTTTGGTTTTGTTTATAATATAAATGCTAGATGAGCAGACCTGGAGTCAATACTTTCTCTTCATCTCAGATAAGGAGTGGGTAAACGCAACAAAGGGATCCTCAGGCTGTGCCCCCCATGTGCTTCTGACAGGACATAAGCATTACCCAGAGGTAATGCTATGGGGTAAAGCCCTGGGCATGAGCACCACCTCACTTCCTCACTTGCTGCAGGGACCTTTGGAAACATGGTTACAACCAGTCCCACTCAATTATTTTTCCAACTCTCTCCTTGATTGAAAAAGCATGACCAGGTATAAGACAGTGAGAGGACAGATAGCTTCTATATTTTAATCACCAGTCATTTTCAGTCTTTAAACAAAGAAATAAACAGTGACTCCATTTTCTGCACAAAGTCCACAGAGGTCTCCTGTCAGGACTGTCATCAACTCAGCTCATTCAGAAAGCCCATCAGTTCTTCTCATTAAAGAGTATGCTTGTGATTTGTAGAAAAAAAAGATTTTCTCAATTTAATTGAATATGAATTAGGTCTTTGACTGAATTATTTTTGCATACAAAGTAAATAAATACATTTATTTTTTTACCAGTTGGAGATTTAGAGCCTGAGGTATTTTGTTAAGTGTCTACAGATATTACTGAAAGTGGCTTGGAAAAGCAGTTGTTTTCTAAGTTATTAAATTAAAACTTGTATGAAATATTTGAAAAAAAACCCCATTAGTTATTTACATGCAAAATTATTAGCATCTGCTTGCAACTTGTATTTTGCATCTCAATCCAGTCCCTTTGAAGAAAAGGCAATTGTATTAAGAAGAGTAATTAGATTTGCTTTGAAAAAACAAACATAGGTCTAGTTTGTGCTAACTGCAGTTTTACTGGAAATTTCACAGTCTAAAAAAACAACCCCAACACAGTAGGTATCACACAGAAAAAAGGGAGATCACATTCAATGACAGCTGGAACCAAGAGGAGCTAAATGGATGCATCTGCCATTGGTGGAGATTCGGTGTGCCAGACCTGCTCAGGGAGGGTCTGAGGTACCATGGACTGACCCAGGAGTTATTTCTGGGTTAGAAAACCAACATATTTCATTTATCCCAGTAGTGTCTCCTGCCATCTGTAGATGGAAATACAGATGTGACTTCCAGGCACAAGCCATTCTCTGCATCACTTGAGCTGGTTTGGTTCTTCTGGGAGATGTTGGGAATGTCTGGGCTCACTTATCCTTACCACAGCACAGACTGGTGGTGGTTTCTGAGAGAGCAATTTTTATCAAATCCACCTCAGCTTTCACCTGTCCTGGTCAGGTAGATGTAACCCAAACTCTTTGAACACAGTAAGTTTGACTGGACCCTCCTCTGCATTTCTGTAAAGCTGGAGAAGTTCCACAGACATCAGTGCAGAAGCACTGCTGTCACACCTGTGGGCACGAAGCTGCAGGTCATTCAGCAATGCACTGACAGCCTCAGAGATCTCAGCTTCTTCAAAAAATGCCAACCCAACAGTGCTGTAGCCCTGGTGCAATCACAGTGCTGCCAGGGCAATGGATAGCTCTGGTGCTGCTCAAGGAAACAGTGCCAGCCCCTGGCATACCAGCCTGGGAGCATCCCTGCCACTGAGCATCCTCAGCCAGGAGGGGCAAATAAAGGGTCCCCAGTAAGCAACAGCATGGTGCATCTGGGTTCTGATCACAAGAGCCAGCAATCTGCTCCCCAGAAGCCCCTGGTGTCCTCAGATCATGGCAGAAATGGTGACAGGTTTCCATATGCAATGCTCAGGGAAAGCCAGCAGGAAACTATCACAGGCTGCTGTTGTATTCAAACCCAGCTGCTCA